ATAATTAAAGCTTTACTTTGTTATCGTATCAAGGTTTTCTGACCTGTGTATATATTTGCCAACGGATTTACACCAATTTTACAGTTTGATTAAAAGTTGTGAATTGCTCATTATGACTAAATAGCCTATATAGATAATAATAATCAGAGGAATATCAAAAGTAACAATAATAAGAATACAGCACATGCAAATATTTGGACAATGAAAGAACTAAGAGTAACGGGAAATAAATAGTTACATAGTTCAATTAATAATGGAAATATGTACCTATACAATAGATGGCCCATGGACCAACCTAGAAAACAGTAAATGATAAATAAACAATAACTATGATAAATATTTTTGTGAAAACAATAAACAATGTTATTAACAATAACAATGATAAATATTTGAAGTAAATAAAATTGTAAATTATTACCAATCTAAATCGTCTTTTGGGCTTCGTTTCATTAAATAAGGCCTATGCCATCATTTCAACACAATTTCGAGTCATCTTCGGATTAAGCAAAGCATAAATTGTATTACAGACGGCATTATCACTGCACGATAAGTAGACCTAAATACGATTATAATAAAATTTGACAACACTATCAACAATTTCAAATACTAATTTTGTATGCACTTGAACGACAATCTACAGTACAAACGACAATCTTGTATGTACTTGCGTTTAACGACAATCTACAGAGATTGTCTACAGCCACACCATTTCGAACCATCCAAGTTGTGTATTAAGTTTAGAGCTAACCTCACTCTTTGTTTGAATGAACCCCACTTGAGCTAACACCGTACACATTATTTCATTTTTCAACAATAAAAAACATGAATTTAATATTTATCACAAAACATAGGATCTTAGGTTGTAAATCCTAATAATTGCTTAATATTCTTATAAGAAATTTCACAAGGATTCAAAACAATACAAAAAATCTATATTCAAAACTGTTTTTATTGCAGCCTTTATTTGCCATATCATTTAATCAAATACAAGTTATTTTAAAGGAAATGCAACTGTAGTCATTCCGTGTTTTTTTTTTCTTTTTAAGAGAATCTCTTTTGCGTACATTTAGCGCACTTAGGGCCATTTTTTAGCAAATACAAAGATTTGGAAAATCTTATTTTATTTGTTTTTCCGTACAAGCATGAAAACCTAAATTGATGTCCTTTTGTCACGAATGTTTATACGTTTATATGGGCAATAGTCCTAACATAAGGTACCGTCCAGCGATAGCAGCGCAATCGGGGTGAGTCGTTACAATGTGATCGACATGTTGGAAAAGCGATTTTACCAGTACCAGATAACCTCTGTTACGTTCACTACGACATATAAAAGATCAACCGACTTTATACTTTTTAAGTGATTTGTCACTTGACACAACTGCCATCTAAACGCAGTTTATGAATGCAAGCCTCGATTGTAGTTTATTGGTGACGATGATTGAATAATGTTTCCCAGTCGTATACAAAACTGATTAACGGTCTATTTCCCGGTTATACAAACTCAAGTACAGTAGGCTACAATTAAAACACTCAAATTCGCCGGTTTTGTGGCTATGATGGTGTTGGGACTCAAACGGGTGGCCTGGTATTATTTATCTGTACTGCTAAATACACACACTGGATAAGATGCAAACTATTTTTATTGAATAACTAAAAAGTATGCATGTAATTTGGGTTTGACGTGGTTTAACACTTCATGAAATTGGGCCTTTAGTGTTAAACCCAAATAACATGCATTTGATATAAGAAAATTTGATTTTTGTTATTTACGCAAAAACTAAAAGAGATACGAAGTAAGTGTAAATTACAAAGTTTTTAAGAATTAAAAAACCTATAAAATGATGTGCCACTTGACATATGTTGCTATTTGAAATTATTGAAAAATGAGCATTTGCAAATTTTCAAAAAAATTATTTTTTTTTGAATTTTTATAATTTCAAAAAACCGTTACTTTTAGCATATCAAAGTAAAGCTAATTTCATAAAGAGTAAGAAAATTCAACCAGAGAAGGGATAAATGCATTGGCACAGGAAACACAGAGTATTAAAAAAATATAGACTTTTCCAAAAAAAACTGCCGCCATTTTGAAACGGAAAAAGATAAGTGATTTCTGTTTTCACCAAAATGTTTGTCTATCAAATACCTTTAAAATGATGTATAACATGGCATCCGAGATTCGAACTAGTGACCCTCAGTTTTTGGCACACCCTGTATTAGGAAAAGTTAAAAATATTTTTACGTTATTCCTTGAGGTTGATTTAGCGGGAAATAATTTTATTTCATCCTTTTACGTTAAGCCGTTTTTCCCTTATCAATTTGAGACACCTCTCGTGAGACACCCTGTATATTTGAGCTTGGGCCGCGGTACACACCGAGCAGCACGCACGGGTGACGAGACTAGTGACAACACAAACAACCAGCTGCCACGCCTCCACGACACAGCTCTCGGCACGTGACCACGAGAGCACACTGTCGTGGTCGTAGCCGTCCACTCTAGTGCACTGTCCCTGTACACAACTTTTTGATTCTGTTCGACGGGTTTTCTGATTCATGTAGCCTACAGTATACTAGTTATATTTAATTTAATTTAATTTAATCTTGTATACTAGTATACTGTACGTAGCCTATATGTACTAACTCGAAAACCGTTATCAGCCAAGCCTCACTCAATACTATACTAAGAACTTAAACAGGAATACTCTTTAATATTACTACCGATTGGTAGACAATTTAACTGTGGATATTTTTATGTTTTACATCGAGTTACGTTGCAGGTGTCTAAGTCTTGTATATAATCGTTAACAAAATAACAATTAACAGTAAATTAATTAGAAACGTTATCCATATTAAAGCCGATGCTCGGTCTTATAAAGATAAGAAAACTGAAATGACAAACAACGTTCAGCGTGACAACTGCGATTCAAAAACAGTAATAATGTGCTATGTACAAATGAAACTATTGTATATTTTATTTATACAAAAAATGTATTGATAGTCCCAGCCCGTGCTATTTATAGAAAACATTCTTCTCTCAAATATTTTGTTGGCAACCAAACATGTAACGTAAAACAACTAAAAATACTAAAATATAAATAACAGTCAGCGCTTGTATTCAAGATTATTGCTAAGAAACTAAATCAGTAATTGGTAACTGATAGTTGTTGTAATATTTTGTTTTCGAAAAGTTGGACAATTTATTTCATTTACGTTGGTAGCAATGTGAGGACTTAATGTGCCGACGATCAATCTTATATTCGTTAAAATATATACCCAGCAAACGTAAAGTACTCGGACTCATGAGGACCTAACGTTCGCATCGTGTATAAGATATATCATGAGTACTTAACGTTCTCCTCGTGTATATATATAAATATATTAGGGATGGTCAAGTCTCGAAATTTCGGGAAATTTTCGGGAAATTTTCAGTCTCGTTACACGAGACGAGATTACTTTTTGGCCGAGATTTTTATCGAGACAAGAATAAAAAAAAAAAAAAAAAAAAAAAATTAAAAACGCCTGCAGAAAGTCAATGCAATACCCGCAATACAGGAGCGTGTTGTAGTTGCGTTTCCTTTTCGAAGGCGTTCTTATTTAATTAATTCTTTTAATGTAAATATTACTTTAATTCTTTTAATATAAATATTACTTTCATTATTTTAATAATATTACTTTAATAACATCTGAGAAGTTTTGTTAAGTGTAAGCAGTGTGAGGAATGTTTTATTACTATAAAAAAAGTCAAAACAAGTAACTATTTTATAAAAATTAATATTGCTTTTATTTTATGATTTATTTTATTTTAGGATAAGTTGAACTCTATCCTAAATGATATCACCATGTTTCCTAATCGTAGGCATTTTTAATAAGTTAGGCGTGGTTAATAAAAAAATGTTATGCTAATGTTATTTAATGAAAGATTGTAAATATTCTTGCCTATTATCATTATTTTAGTATTTAAACAGTCATCTAACAATGTTAAAAAATCAGGTAAAAATTTCGAACGTGCATTTCCCGTTGTGTATGAAAAGAGAAATCTCGTCTCGATCTCGTCTCAAAATTTTATGAGAAATAAAAAATCTCGTCTCGTCTCGTCTCGAACTAAAAATCCAATCTCGTCCATCCCTAAAATATATATATATATATATATATATGAATTTGAACGGATGGTGTTTTTGGCCTCTAGGGACCTCAAAACGAAAAAAAAAATCGGTCCCGCGTCCAGGTCTTACCATGAGTACTACGGTAATAGCTTATTCCCTATATGGGAAATTCGCTAAAAAGAATGTTGAAATGTGAGGACACTAAAAGTAACCAGTCCTGAGCTCTTTTTTTAAATGACTTAAAATCTTAATTCTTTGGCAATGATGCTGAGTTTATTAAATAATCTTAATGAAATATCATGGTAACTATTTTTGCATTTACTTAACCTATGATAAGGCACGTCTAAAAGGAACTGATTACAAATGAATATAATATTATTAAGGAATGAATATTAAACCTATATACATGGGAAATAATATTTTTCTTAACCCTGAGTACACACATAAATATGTACAGATTTATCACATTCAAAATTCTACTTCTTGTAAACAATGGCTTATGTAATATGACTTAAGTAAATATGTACCTAAACAATTTACATGGTTAATTATTCCATCTTAAAGTTATATTATGGTTATACTGTAGAACCCCTTTTAACAGAATTTGAGTTAACCGAAATGGTTCTATAAAATAATAATAATATAGGGCTGTAAAATGCTTTAATAACTTCAGTTGCCTGGTTTGAAGTATTTTCTATCCCATTGTAACATTTTTGTAGCCGAAATAAAACCCTGAATTATATAGACAATCTCCTAAATTCACTTTTCCTACACACTGTGGTGATACATTGGCTATTTTTAGCATATGATGGGTTAACTGAAAAAATGGTTATCCAAAACGGCTCACCCCTCTTTATTTCAGTTAACCGGGGTTCTACTGTATTGTGAATGTGTCTTTACCTAGTCTGGTTGAGAAGGTGGGTGTAGCATGCAAAGGTATTGGCAGGTTCAGCAAACACTGCTTCATGCTGAGGCACACCTCGTGGCAGTTGCTGAATGAAACAATCGCTCGCATCTGCTTGGCATCAGCCTTGTACTCTTCACCTATCACCTCTTCTGATTGTAGTGTCACAGTGAACTGAAACATTCATCAGAGTTGAACATTCATAGATTGACTTCAGTCAATGCAGTTCTATACCTTACCTTACCCATGTGACCACTCAAGCGCCAGAAGGTTTTTGGCCCAGCCAACAAGGCGCCAACTTTCTCCGCCTTCCGTCCATTCCGTCTCTGCTCTTAGCTTCCCTACATCTTTTCGCACCTGGCCCTGCCATCATAGCCGAGGTCGTCTTAGATTTTCGGACACCATTCTTAGCATAGCATCTTATTCTCTTCTCTTCACATGCAGTTCTCTACACGATCAAATCTATATATTTTGAAACCAGTACCCCCATCATCAGGTATTCAAAAACAATATTAAGATTAATTTTTTTGAAATGATCCGATTTTGATGAAATTTAGTATAAACATGTGAACCTACATTTATTTTAATGAGTTTGAGAACCAGCATGATCGGAATATGGGAACGGGGGTTTGTGGGGGGTTTTATGGGGTAAAAATGGGGTTTTCCCATTTTTGACCCTAAAAACATAGAATTTTGCAATTTCTTTTGAAAGTATTTTTAAAAAACAAATTATTTGGTATGTTGAAGCGTTATTATGCACCTAATGGTTACGGAGAAAATTCAAAAAAATTGTAATTTTAAAATTTCTACGTTATTCTTAGTTTGCTTGTTTATGAACATATTTTGATCAAATTTGGAAGATGCATTTATTTCTTACTAAACTATTAACATTTAACAAAAAAAAAAACCTTTTTTACCTTCCCTGTTGCAGCAAACTACAAGTACTAGTTGTTAAACTAATTCTTTTTGGGGAATAAATGTGATTTTTTAATGAGACATTTTGGTGTAAATCCAATCAGGCAAATGGAAATTTGCTTAGTCTGCAGGTTTGCTGTGGCGGGGGTATTTTCATAGTGTATCTATTTATCAACCCCTGGACTCTAATTTTCTAACGTAAGCTAGTTTAACTCTAATTCTTTTCAAACAATTCCTACAACACTGAGATTCATTCATTCCTTTTGTATAGATGACAGAAATAATACAGGTATTATTGTCGTTATAACAGTAGGTTTATAGTAAATTCAAAAATTATAAAATAAATTTACCTGTACACAGGGGACTGTTGCTCCAGAAAAATCAAAGGTGCCAATGATGTCCTCGCCTAACTTATAGGCTTGTTTGAACAAGCAAAAACGAGCTACTTTACCCTTACTGTTGGTAATATTGTAGAAGTTTGGATTTCTGCGAGCGGTTATATTCTGAAACAATCATAAGAAACTGTGCTTTAGTCCTTCAATCCAGCGAAACCTCCTAATTGAAATCTTAGTTCTAAAATTGAAAATCGTCTTAGTACTAATATGAGTAATATGACAATATTAATGTATACCTGAAGCAGCTGGATTGTTGGATCCTGCTCATGGTCCTTGGCAGTGCTCTCCAAGAAAGGGTTGCTAGGAGACAGGTCTTCACTGTCCTCACACAGTCCTCGGTCCTCTGGCACTCCTGAGTACAATCAACTTGTAATAATATAAATGCTTTAACAAATAATGTAACACACTAAACACTTTCCACAGTCAAACATAACTTAACTACAGTTGAGGTCTTTGGAGTAACTGACATATGCTCAACATTCTTTATTGTTGCTAGGAAAGAAAACAAACATGTTAAAATCAATAGTAGTGCATAGTAGTTTTATCTCGCACACAATTTTTAAAATTGAAAACTGATTGAGTTTGCATTATTTATTTTTAAGGAATTTTTGTCAAAGGTTTAAAACCTTTATAAAGACTTAATGGCAAAGTTGATTACTAAGGTACTCATCCCATCTGTGGACTTCATGGAAATGTAACCGTAGCCAACGCTTAATATATAAGTTAAAATGTTGAAATACATGTAAAAAGTTGAAATAAATGATTATATGAATAGTAAAATTGTATAGAGAATACCAAAGAACGATATACATACCACTAACATCCAACACCCGAAGTGGAACCCGCAACAGTTTGACAGGGGGTGGAATAGAGACGCTTCCAGGCGACTGCAACGGAACCCTCTGTGTACCAATGGTAATCTTGTACGAGTACTTCACCAACTGGCCTGTGTACGAGGGGAGAGCTTCCAAGGGTAAACCCTGGGAATAGAAGTCTGCGAAACAAATAACATTTTCTGTCGTCATAACACTTTTAATAACGTAACATTAAACCATCAAGTTTGTTACTGGCTGCCATGAGAGTGAGGCTTGACATTCCATTGCGGTAGTCTAGGCCTCATTCAGCTTTTGATCAACTGAGTTATCTTCAACAATAGAAAAGTAAGTAGGCTGAAGTAAGTGATTTTGTTCAAAACACACTAGAAAATAGAAGTGCACAATACCACATAACATTTACAGAATATTTAGAAATATTCATTTTTTATTTTTATTACATCACTGAGGAATGTTGGATGATTTGGACTTGCAACCAAATGAGTCAGGGCTTTAGTTCTAATAATTTATGGCTCAGCACAAACTTAATGTGCTGACTATGTGTATGTACTTACTACATTACTGATAGTAGTATACATCACTTATTGGTTGATAAAATAGCTACTTAAATAGGGTCAGGTAGCTATAAACCATTCATTCATTTATTCATACAATATTTAGTTGAATAGCAATGATGCATTACAATCAATTGAGATGGGGACGCCACCTAGGTGAGTATTTTAATCCAATTATGAATGAAGGATGAGTGTAGAATGGAGTAATATGATCTGTGTAGCTTTGTTACTGACCAAGATCAGCTGTTACTTTCATTAGCTCTGATCATTTATTTAAAGCCGGTTTTTCCTATGCATGGAAACAGAACACGGAGAGCGGACCTCTCTTGTCTTAATGTTACTGTTTTTCTAGAAAGCGATCGCCATGTCAATCGCTTTCCTGCTTGTTCCCCTGAAACCGGGCCGGACCATCCGGTGGCCGATCCAACCGAAGCTGAACTAGAGAGAGTCTACTGTATATAAAATATTTGGTTTTACATTACCTTTTGGAACTGATAAAGGTAATGTAAAACCAAATATTTTAACTAAACAAGGTGCAAATTATTTTATAAGGATTACATATAGTAAATTTTGTCAATCTTAAAACAAAACAATTTACAGAAAAGATTTAAAGGCTTTGTCTATTTAAATATAGATAGCATTAAGCAAATCTTGAAATGCCTTAATATTATTAAGTTAAGCATTTGATTCAATTAATTTGTTTTTCATTTGTCTAGTACTGTAACATCAATTCTTGGTTGCAAGAAACAGTGAAGTGAATGAATTGATTTAAATATTGTACTACCATTTTAGTATTTTAAGTGAGTGTTTATTAAGTTTTATATTTATAACAGGGACGTGTGTTTCAACCAACCAAAATATCCGAGGATTGGGATCTGAGAGGGGATGCTGCAAGTTTGTATGATTATGTGCTAGAATACTTACAAGATTTGCTTTCCCCTGGGGCCAGCTTCAGGTCACAGAACAAAATCTTTGGGGTTGTAGACAAAACTATCCTGCCTCTATCTCCCCTACATGGAGCATATGATGTGTCTGCAACATATATAGGCCTGCCTCAACTCAGCTACGTACTAAACTTACTGGCCTAACTATTATAATTATGTTTCTTACACTAGCACAGTTCACAGTTTATGAACAACTACCATTCAAATTCAAATTCTCAAATTCACTATTATCACGTAAAAACATTTGTACATAGCAAAGCTATTAAACTGGTGACATTGTCAATTCAATATAAACCTAAAAATACAATTAAGTTACAGAACATTTTTGTCTGACTCTAAAACAACAATTACATACAGGGTGAGTTTTCAATGAGTTCCCCCCCTACTTTTTTCTACATTTCTTAAGATATCAACTCCGGACCACGTCAGATCATTGTAGAGTAGTAAGTACTTCATTTTGACTGGGTATAAATTTTTGGCCGCCATCTTGGATCCGCCATATTGGATAAAAAGTTTTTTTTTCAAATGTAAAGGTAGGGTTATGACCCATCGTTTTATCCTACATTTTTATGCTGAATACGATGCTGCAATCCGTTTAAAAAAATCTTGATCCATTCTAAAGTTATGAGAACTTTTTATAACATTATTTTTAGCCCATTTTAACATTGTGCATTTACAAAACTAAGAACATAATCTCAAAATAGTGCTAGATAAAGATGAGTATACACCACATAATATACATAAATCTTTTTCTAGCACTATTTTGCGATTATGTTCTTAGTTTCTAAATGCACAATGTTAAAATGGGCTAAAAATAATGATATAAAAAGTTCTCATAACTTTAGAATGGATCAAGATTTTTTAAAACAGATTGCAGCATCGTATTTAGCATAAAAATGTAGTTTAAAACGATGGGTCACAACCCTACCTTTTCATTTAAAAAAAAAACTTTGTATCCAATATGGCGGATCCAAGATGGCGGCCAAAAATTTATACCCAGTCAAAATGAAGTACTTACTACTCTACAATGATCTGACGTGGTCCGGAGTTGATATCTTAAGAAATGTAGAAAAAAGTAGGGGGGGAACTCATTTAAAACTCGCCCTGTATAACAATACTGCTTAATTTTGTAAAAAGTCACTTACAGAGTAAAATACTTGGTTTAAAAGATAACTTTTTAGAGTATTCTTAAAACTCTTTAAACGGATTTGGCTTTTAATGTGTGTCGGTAGATTATTAAAAAACTTCATACCCATGTAACTAGGGCGCCCTTTTCATAGATTGTTAAGTTATGTATTCGGTATTGAAAATTGCCTTTGCACCTTGTGTTGTATGCATGTAAATTCTGCTGTCCACAAATAAGATCAAAATTCTTCTGAATGAACAGTAAGCATGAATATATATAGAGAGAGGGAAGGCTCAATAATCCTAACTGTTTAAAGATTGGCTTGTATGAGACTCGTGGCCGCAAAAATGTCATAATGCGAACAATTCTTTTTTGAAACTTGAATATTTTTTTCCAATCAGCCGATGAACCCCATAGCTAAATTCCATATTCATAATGGAATAAAAATAGGCAAAATAAACCATTAATCTAGTTTCCAAATCAGTTCTATCCCTTAACACAAGCATTTGGAAACAAGCAGAATTCAGTTTATTGCCCAGTATTGTTATGTATTTTTACATAACTACATTTACTACATTACTATTTTTACATAACTACGCAGCCACCTTTAACTACAGGCCGCGGCCTGGTAGAATTGGCAACGTCGCAAGTGGGGTTGTTTAGTGCAAGACAGGTGACATCAGCTCATTGATTCGCACTTTATTGATTTAAATTTAAATTGATGAACATAAATTTATTAAAATATTGAAAATAAATTAATTGAAAACCAAAATAATATGAAATAAACTTCTTAAGTAACTACTTAAGTAATAACTTAAGTAACTCATTTTATTAAAGGTGTAAACAGAAAACTAATCTGTAAAATCCAAACATAAACAAACATTAGAAAATAAACTGGTATAGCAATCCTCCCCCTTTAGTTTTCTTTATATATTTACAATTTTCTAATTTGGTCTACATGTCTTTTCCATATACATCCGTCTTCCGTTCTAACAAGGTAGATAACATTTCCCATTTGTTTCTCAATTTTCCCAACCGTCCATTTTTTATTTGAGGTAAGAGAGTAGTCCCTCACCAGCACTCCTTCCCCTACAGTAAAGTGTCTCTTTGTCAGCTTGGTTCGACTTGGTCTATTTTCTAAAAAATACCCGGCATTTCAGTAAAAATCTGTTTACCGGTATTCAAATTGTTTACCATCCAAATGTGGTTCATTCAAATTATTTTGGATAGCGGAGTTCTCCTGTACATTTAAAAAAATAGGCCTAAGATACATTACCTAGTGCAATGAAAAGGAAGAAAAAAATATTTAAAAAATGACAGTTCACCTCCTAATTTTTAATGTACAACCAACTCTACGGTTTAAATGATTTCTGGTAGAGAAAAATTTGAGGCAAAACTTTGATATTCAACATCAATGTTAACTAGACTCTAATTAACTTTCAATTGCTACAATCGATATGAAAGTTTGGTGTTTTGTTATTATCCAATCAAATCGATAATTATGTTCAATAATATGATGTAGGCTACTAAAATATCAAAGTTTCTCTCAAATTTTAATCTCAATGTGGTCTAAGTTACACATATATTTACAGTGGCGGATCTAGAACAGTCACAAGGGGGGGGGGGCGAACCAGGGAGTCTGGGGGGGGGGTTCGGGGTTCGAAAAATTTGTGTAAACTAAGTCTCCAAAATGGCAGTTTTCTACCATTTTTTTGTCCAAAGTTAGTTTGACAAATTATTTTAAGCAAATTGTGTGCACTACATGGATTAAAAAAATATGTATATGAATGCCCGAGGGGGGGGGGGGCGGTCGCCCCCTTCTGGATCCGCCATTGTATATTTATTTCAGTGACTAACCTGAATTTGAAACAACCTTTTCTTCAGGTAAATATGGAGTTTTTGATGGTAGAGGTACTTTCCCATTAGTAGAACATAAACAATGAATTTGGGCAGATGCCCAGGCCAGTGATTCAAGAGTATCCCTAAAAATATTACAAACATTTTATATCAAACTGACAAATTCAAAAGAGAAAGCAGGTTTAGGCCTATGCTAACTATCCTACAGTAAAGCTTATCTTAGACAAATATTGCCAAAGACTTCCGCTTCACAATATTTGACCCCTTTCTTGTATAGGTTAAAAATTAAATATGCAAAACCAATATTTCCAATTGATAAATGACCTACTCATCTACTTACAAAACCACAGCCTTCTCTTGTTTAATTTTAATTTAATAACAAGACTAAAGGACTCCATATCGCTATACATGCACCAATGGTCATGTTACAAACTTCATGTCATGACTAAGAATACCACAGGTGGTACCTTGCCTGACAAAGTTACAAATTTATCACTTTGTCATCTTGACAGTCATGTTAGGTCGATAACTTATTATTATTTTTGGTACCAGGGTAATATCATACAGTATGTACTTCCATTGTATGATTTACTTCCATATTGTATGATTCTCAACATTTTTCTGTTCTAGATTGTCTGTTTAGGCTAGAAAGGGGTAAGTTACAGTTCCGCAGAGAGCCTGCGATATATTATCGGATGAATAATGATATAAATCGATAATTAAGGTATCTGATTCAATATATCGTTCCTATGTTTTTTTTTTCACTATGTAACTCAAACATGGATTTGTTTACAAATTTATTGATATTTAACATAACATTTACATTTGAATAAGTTAAAAAAGTTATATATTATCAAAAACAAATAATAATTAATTGATGCTAATTAAAAAAACAATACCCCCTACCCAAGCAAACCTGCAGACTAAGCGAATTTCCATTTGTCTGGTTGGATTTACTCTAAAATATCTCCTTAAAAATATCACATTTATTCCCCATTTAAATAGCATTGGTTTAACAAGTAGCTCATTGTTGTGGTATGCCCCTGAGCTGGTAAGACAAATATTAATAGTGGTTTATTTACCTTGTATTTTCGTCACAGCTCAAAAATGTTGTATAGAAGCTACAACCATGGTTTCGACGCCGTTTGCGTCATGGTCACGTAGGACATGTCGAGAATCAAAGCATAGTTGTTGTTGTCATAGTCGGTCGCTTGGACGTCGTCAAAAACACATTAACACAAACACGAACACATACGGACATATTAACACTTGGAATACACGCCTGTGTTTATTTAACTATACCGTCGCGGGAGCCGGCTGGAGAACACTGAGCGCGACGGCGACTTCTTGATGAAATCATCAAGACTTCTCTAGTTCGTCAGACGAGTTCAACACACACCCCCTACAGAAGGACGAGTCCATGTCCTAAGGTACAAGGGTCGTCTTATCATCGTCGCCGTCGCTCTCAGTGTTCTCCACTAGAATAATTATAAGGAATAAAATAAACGCAACAAGCGCCTTTAATGTTTTTATTACCGCATTGTTTTTATAAATTAGGCCTATATAGCCTACTTTAAAAATAATCGATTCGGATCTAGGGTACATATTGATATTATATAGTTTTTCAATATTTATCCTGCAATATATCACAGGTTCTCTGGGGAACTGGAACCCTATAAAGTAGCCTAATAGAAACAGATTGGGACGATTGTATAAAAATGTTTACACAATAATTTCTAAGTTAAGTATTGATGTTGAAAAACAGAGTTCATCATGTTATGTAACATGAACAAAAATTTGATTAAAGAGATTTGAGATTTGATATGGGTTTTAACGGTATGGCCCCCTAAATAATAGCCAAAATCTAAATATTTAGAGATTTTGAGGTTGAAGTTAAAAACCCCAAATTCTGTGTTTAAGTTTAAGTCCCGAATTATTTTAATAGGTAGCCTAACATTATGCAGGTGTAAAGCCTGGTTTACTTGGGTCGAGTACGGCGGGCGAGTCGGTGTGCAAGTTGCAACTTGCTCTCCAACTCGCTTGTTGTAGACACGTATAGGCGAGTCGAGTGACGGGCGAGATGGTAAAAAGAGGACAGTTGAGAGCGAGTCGAGTGATTTAGTTGAAAACCGAGTTGCTCGGCCCAGTATCTACCCCCACCACCAAGATTTGCCCGCGAAACATCTGTTTAGTTAGGCCTACTGTCGATATTTGAAGTTGGCTCAGTTCCTTTGTTGCATTACTGTACGAAATCTACTCTATAATTAAATTTTTATTATCTTTGAACAATTACTGCACTTATTGTATTAATTAATTATGGGTTGTTAGAAAGTTCACTCTTGTAGATTTGAAAATAATTATTAAAAATATTTTTGTTAGGATTTATAGTGAAAAATGTAATATTAAACAACAATTAACACGAAAGCTACACGACATCAGCTGTCTACGGAATACCCAACACCATAGAGGACAAAATAAAACGTTCACTTCTCTATGCCTACTGTCCGTCCGAAATAGCGAAGCGTGTAGACACTCTAATCAAGTACTGGGCGAGTTGAATAAATCAAAAACTGGGCCTAGTAACTGGGCCGAACAACTCGCCCGCCGTACTCGACCCGTGTAAACCAGGCTTAATGGGTCTATTTAAAACTTACCTATTGCTTCTTGAGCGGATGTGAGCAGGAAGAGGAGGGTTTGTAAAGGTTATATAGCAACCAACGTTTTCACCTGGTAAATAAACTGGACCACCGATAAGTTTAGCTGTGATTTCAATCATGCTGTCTCAGTTCTTGTAGAAGACCTGCAAAAATAATGTTACATTTAATATTATAACTAAAAATAAGGGCTGCACTTTACTTGACGTCCTACACTCATTCGATTGGTTTTTTCGATTCAATATTATTCTTTCATTCGATATATCGTTTGGTTAGTTAGGTTAGGTTAACCTTACCTAACTAACCAAACGATATATCGAATGAAGCAATCGATTAATCGATATATCGATCGATATTTTCATTCGAATGAGTGTAGGACGTCAAGTAAAGTGCAGCCAAAATAAGTGCAGTTAAAGTCAATCTAATTTAAAGCCTGTATCTTCAAAAACCTTAAGACTAGGCTTAGGCATACTTAAAATTGTAATAGTTAACTTACACCTTAAGTTGATCAATAACAGTAGCCTATAATAATGGTGTAAGAAATAGGCCTAACATTGTCTATAAAAATTAACCAATAAAAATGTAGGAATACGAGTTTTGTTTTCAAGTTTCACTCACTTTCTTCAAGTCAAAACAGAAAACAATGGCAATAGCATAGATGCAAAGATTTACTTAGATAGATAATATTTTACTTGACACTTGACACTACACAGTCACAGTGCGACAGTCGAGAGTTGACAGTGACAGTCGACAGACGACAGAGTCAGTAGACGTTGACGTTGACACTCACTTTTGATACTTGACGTCTCTGGCTGGGGTCTGACTTAGGGGAGGTACGAATGAGGCATTTAGTTCAAAATTCCTCCATGAACAGCGCTGTAGTAGAGAGCACTTTGGCAATGAAGGTTTACTAATCGCAAAAATAGTTCTGTTCATAAAATAAAATTATAAATGTCTCAAATTCAATTTTATTATTTTTTAATTATAAAATTAAACTATCATAACCTAACCGAACTAACCAAACTTGCTGATAAAGAAATAATATAACAAAAGTTTAGTAATCGGAAAATAATTCTGTTTATTAAATAAAACTAGAATTTGCTCAATTAAAATTTTGTAATGACTTAATAATAAAATTAAACTGTAATAACCGAACCAAACCAACCAAACTTGCTGATAATAAAAAAATCTTGGACAAAAAGTTAATGCTACCAGCAGGATTCGAACCCGGGACCTACAGTATAACTGCTCGGCACGCTAACCATTAGACCACCGAGGCCGATGGCTACCGGACCGTTTTGTTACGGTAATGACGTTCCCTCAGCTAATAACATAGACTAAAGGGAGTATGTTTCATCTATGCTAATAAGAAGCCCACAGCTGCTGTCATCGTAGCCTCTTCTATACCTCCCCTGAGTAAATACCCTCTGGCTGGCGATGACGATAATGACATTATTTTTTTAATGAATATCTGGTACTTTCCTGTTAAAGGGAACATTCATTATTATCGATGATTTTTTTTCTCGATATATCGATGTTTTTGTTTTCCGATCCATTACAAATTGACAACAACTAACTGATCTTGTTTAGGCTAAAATAGTCTATTATATGGATTAAGAAATGAAACTGTTTCTAAGCTAACCTAACATAACCAACCAAACTTGCTGTACCATTTAAAAATTCCGTTTGGGTTTGAATATTTTTTTTTTTTTTTTAACAAGTATTTATTCGCAATCTATTCTATACTAGAATAATAAGTAAATTTGATAACCATTTTAACATGGGTTAGTTACACTCCATCAAGTGCACTAACATACAAAAACTTTTAAAAAGTTCAACTAAAAACTATTTGGAAGGTCTATTGGATTAACTCTTTTGAGCCTATATGTAGCTTCACTATTGTCGAGGAGGTTAACTGCCAGGAAATTTGGATGGGTTTCTAATTTTCTTTGGTATTTTTCACTTCGTTTCTTTATTTCTTCTTTAACATAGGGTAATTTTGTATCTTGATGAATTACTTTATTTGTGACAAACCAAGGTGCTTGTAAAATTTTTCTCAGTGTTTTCGATTGAAACCTTTGAACTATTTCTATGTTTGAGTTGGAAGTGGTTCCCCAGAGTTGGATACCGTAGGTCCAAATAGGTTTCAATATAATTTTGTATAAAAGTAATTTATTTTCAACAGATAATTTTGAATTTCGACCAATGAGCCAATTTAGTTTGTTTGTTTTTAAATTTAAATGAAGTCGTTTGTTCCAAATGTGTGAATGCCATGTAAGCCGTCTGTCGAGATGCATACCAAGGTACTTAACTTCGTTGGATTGTGGAAGAATGACATTATTAAATGTTACTGGGGGACAAGTTCTTGTAGACATAGTAAATGTAACTTGAACAGATTTTGTTTCATTTACTTTAATTTTCCAATTCTGTAGCCACTGAGACAAATCGTCTAATGCAGCCTGAAGGTTTGATGATGCCAGACAGAATAGGATCCTGATTTGATGATAAAAAAGCAGTGTCGTCTGCAAATGTTGCAACCGTAATACCCTGAGTACTTGGAAGGTCATAAGTGAACAAAATACACAAAATAGGCCCAAGAACACTGCCTTGTGGTACACCTGATTCAATTTCATGCACATCTGTAACTATATCTTGATATTTAATTTGAAAAAAGCGTTTGGACAAATACGATTTCAATACTCCATAGTATGTATGGGGCAGCAAAGTTTTAATTTTGAACAATAATCCTGTGTGCCAGACTTTATCAAACGCCTGGGCTACGTCCAAATTTTTTTCTCGATATTTCGATGTTTTTGTTTTCCGATCCATTACAAATTGACAACAAGAAATGAAACTGTTCTAAGCTAACCTAACATAACCAACCATACTTGCTGTACCATTTAAAAATTCCCTTTGGGTTTGAATATAAAAGGCAAGTTATAAACACGGAATTTTTAAATTTTACAGCAAGTTTGGTTAGTTATATTAGGTTATTTTTTTAGAACAGTTTCATTTCATTAATGTTTGTTGATACTGAACAATATTTTTCGTAGTTGTCAGCTGATATGTTTCAATTTGTTAATATCGATACATCGAGAAAAAATCATCGATAATAATGAATGTTCCCTTTAACAGGAAAGTACCGAATAGCTTTTAAGCCGAAGTCAAGGTTAGCGCTTTTATAAATTCATGCAACCCTCGTGAACCCATGAACACCATTTGTGGTTGCTTTCTCTATGTCAATGGTTAAATTAAATTGTTATTTATAGGTAAAAATAAATCACCATCTGCTTGGTTAAAATATTTGGATATTATAAAACTACGGCCGCCTGTTAAAGGTGGTGGTGTTAAAGGTTAAAGGTGAAAGGGGCCTCGGATGAAGAATCCTAAGAATTGACAACATGAATGTAACAGTATTATTGTTTTTTAGGGTTTCTTTTAAAATTTCTTATTTATTTCTTTCAGGTAATTATTAATTTTCTTGACAATTTATTCACATTTGAGCTCAGGGCTGCTGCAAGGTCAATCTTGTATTCTTTATAAGTTTCCTTTAAGGACGATTTTCCTGAGAAGTTCGTAACTTGGGCATATCTAGAATGAAGGTTACCTCCAAGATGCACGCTGGTTTTTCCTAGTCAGATTGTTGGTGCCATCAGATACTAGGCCACGGCACGGCGTTTGAAGTGGCAATTAACACTGTCAGTAGTAGCGCGGCCACCTTTAACTCCAGGCCTTGGCCTTCGAAGTGGTAACATCGCAAGTAGGGCTGTAACAGCTGTTTTTTAGGCAGCTAATAAATGGTATTTGTGTATGTTTTAAGAATACGAAAGCTTGGTTATTGGTCGATGAAAATGTTGACTCCGCTTTAAACGTGCAAAAATAGATTTTCAATTAAAATATTGTTTTGGCTTTCCATTCTCTATGTTTTATTTTCAATCTTTTATTAAATTTATGTTCATAAATTTAAATTTATATGAATAATACGTGAATTAATGAGCTGGTGTCACCAGCCTGTCATGTTATCTTATGGGACGTCTGGCGTGTGGCGAGTGGCAATAGCCACGGCCTGTAGAATTGGCAACGTTTCAAGTAGTGTTGTCTATCGCCAGCCATAAGATAACATGACAGACAGGTGACACCAGCTCATTAATTCGCAAATTATCAATTTAAATTTATGAACATAAATTTACTAACAGATTAAAAATAAAAACATATAGAATTGAAAACCAAAACAATATTTAAATTGAAAATCAATTTTTGTACAGTGAAGTCAATATTTTCATAGCCGAGTAACTAAGCTTTCGTATTCTTAAAAAACACACAAATACCAATAATACCATTAGCTGCCTCGAAACAAAACAGCTGTTACAACTCTACTTGCGATGTTGTCACTTCGAAAAGCCGTGGGCCGCGGCCTGGAGTTAAAGGTGGCCGAGGCTTACATACTCCCTTAGTAGATTTGTCATCCTTTTGGGACAGCTGAAGCATGCTGAAGCAATGAAGCCAATTTTATTGTAAGTTCTGTCCGGTGCACTGTAGAGGTCATGTTTGGTTTACAATTTGTTTCTAGTTATTTCATTCGTTAAAAACTTGGTTAAACCAAATACAGTAAAACGATCCAATCATAAACAATAACTCATCCTCTAGCTATGTAACCAAACAGTAAACCACAATTATTCATTAAACTAACCCTCAAATAAAAGAATAAGAAAATTTGTTGACACTAACTATCAGTGTCATCGGACATGAACTAGACGCAAAAAACGAGCTTCATAATAACGTTGTCGTGGTGGCTCATTGAAGTGAGTGTGCACGACAACCCACCACCTCAGATAAGTGTGTGGTGGCGGGTTGTCGTGATGCATGGTGGAAGGAAAATACATATGTCAATAGTATAGGATGAAATAAATAAATTTGCCAAATTTTATCAACATATATCCGTAAACAAGTAAGGTACAACAGTTTTAATTTTCTCCATAAGAATTACATTGGAATATTAAATTACTCTTTTTTTTATTTTCTCCCCGATTGTTAGGCATACAACAGCGCTTAAATATACTAAATTATTTCTTTTTTTTAAGCTCTACCAAATGGCTTAGAAAGAAATTGCAATTTTTTTTGTTTTTAGGGTCAAAATTGGGAAAACCCCATTTTTACCCCATAAACCCCTGTTACCCATGGTCCGATTATGCTGGTTCGCGAACTCGTTCGAATAGACGTAGGTTTACACGTTTGTACCAAATTTAATCAAAATCGGATCATTTTTGCTCGAGTTATCCAGAGTTATCGCGCTAAAATGTACATTACAACTCTCTAATAAAGCATGATCATTGATTATGTTGGCAAGTTTTAATTTTCAGACAGTCTGTCTGTGTTTCTTTTCCTTCGTACTATATCCATCACTCGTCTATCGTATCGTAATCACCACATCCTCCTATCTATAGGAAATCTATCTATGGAAAAAATTCTATTCTAGATAAGTTTGTTTTGGTTGTTTCCAGCTCCACTGTGCGCTGTGCTGTGTCCAGCCTCCCACACCCGTAATTAAACCGATTCGAATCTGAAATCTGATTATCTGAATCCAACCTAACCACTCACTAAACTAAAACTAACACAGTGCAGTGGTCTGGTCAATAAGGTCAGTTTCAGGTTTCAGTTGCAGTTTGTCAAAATTTCCACGTTCAATTTGTTCGTGCGTGTGTTGTTGTCAAGTAGCCTATCTATTGTCGATTTTCGTTTGATTTACGGTATAGCGACGCCAATTATTTTAAAGTGATAAGTTCGGACTATTTGAGATAGCCTATGTTTATTCACATGATTATGTTGACTTAATAATGTATTATTAGGTCTATGCTGCTTCAAAGTAGGACTGGCATTAAGGTTAACTTATATAAAGTAAGTAAACAGTTAATTTATTCCTGTTAACTTAGTTGCCTGGGCCCTGGATCTAAGTCTTAGGCTAAACATGTTTAGAATAAATTTTAGCTGCACTTAAGGGGATACGCCACTATCTGTAGGCCATATTTTATATTTTTTTTACATTTTCCAAAAGTTGCATTTTTAGATAGGTCATTTAAATGTGAACATTTAGCTAAAATTGTTTGCCAATCTGACAACTCCTTCTAGTATAAAAAAAATAAAATATAAAACGCCGCAACCAGCAATTTAACAAAATTTTGAACTATTTTTTTTTGTTCCTGATATGTACACTTTTAACTGTGTATCATAATTATGTATTATGGAGTTATAAAGTAGGGTACATTTATTGAAAACAAAATAAGTACTTTGCTATTTTTATATATAATATAAAATAATAAGTTAGTGTAGTTATGGGAATTTTTCTCCTGTCAACCACCTGTTACATCACCTGCGATTATCTCAATACCGTGTTTTTTAGGTTATTATTGTACAAAAGTTTGAATAACTCCGTTAGTACTATACTTATAGTATTCAAATTTTCACCAGACCTTCTTTATATAGTAATAAAGGATTGTGTGTATAGTAAGCCCTATAGCATTACATTTACTAAAAATATTTATGTTTACGCAAAAATTTTAAATATTTTTTTCAGCTTTTTTATATTTTGAATAAAAGGTGTCCTAAAAATTTTGTTTGTTTAGTTACCATAACGATTATACACAGAAATACTCATTATTTCATCCTGAATCAGGAAATAAATAGAATATGTCATTCCGATCAGTAGTTGAAAAGTTATTCTCAATAACGACTTCTTAAAAATGTTGGTGAAAAAAACTAAAAACGCATATAAATTTAGTAAATAAGTTATAAATTCAATATTTTTGTACCTAAATCTTCTAACTAAGTCTAGTATAAACAAAATATACTAACTAGGTTGACAAAAATAAAATAATAAAAAAAAAGTTGGAGATAGTGGCGTATCCCCTTAAGTCTCTATCTCACATAGGCCTATACTCACATAGGCCTAGGCTAGGCCTACAGTACTGCATGTTTGGTTAAGGTTAGGTTTATAACAGTTTCATCAGCTGGTAACTTAGTTAATGTATAGTAAATGTAGGACCGAAACTAAAGTGTAACCTAAATTTTCACTGTTAAATCGCAATCACAAACCGAATAACTTACTTAACTTAGGCTAACTTAGTTCATGGAACGGGTAGCCTACAGTTTCTTAACTGGGCTAACTTTTAAGCCAATATCGATTGAAAATATTGATTCGATTAACCCTCCCAGTGTTACTTGACGAAAATTCGACAAGCAGCACACTTTGTGTACGGTAGTGTTACTTGTCGATTTTTCGACACGCAGACATCGTTTACGGCGAAGGCTCTATGACTGACTGAATCGGATTGAACTGGATCGAGTTAGGTATCGTTCTTTCCGTAATATTCTAAGCTTTCTCCAGAGGTCTGTCTCTAAGCGCTATTCATTTTAGTTCCGAAAATATTGTAGCAGACAGCTGACGTGCGTGTATTTGTAAACAGCTAGGTTCCCCCGGACCGATGACTGATGTGTTTTATTACGTTTATCATTGTTTTAGTGTTAAAAATCAAAAGTAGTGATATACGTGGTGCATTATAAGAAGATTTAAGTGGTTTTGAAGTGCTGGTTGATGATCCTGAAGAAGTAGGTAGTGATATTGATGTAAATTATCAGCCAGATTCCTAGCTATGGTTAGGCTATGCATTCTTAGCTAAACGCTATGTACTGAAATCAGTTTTTTGCCCATAACTTATTTATTTGCAAATATACTTCCTTACATTATTATATATTTGTAATCCTCATAAAATTTAGAACAAAGTGGCTATTTTCAAATATTTATAGGCCTATAATTTATACAATTTCATTGAGCGCGAACTTATTTTTTTTTTGAAAATTTTTGAAATTATATTTTTTTTTACCTAAAAATTTTTTTTTTGAAAAAATGTTTCTTATGTTTTATATATAATATTGAAGCCCATGATTTTCCAAACAAAATAGTATATAGAACATTAGAATTAACATTGTTTTAAGCTTCTCAGATCCGTTTTAATAAAACGCTTGCAAATGCGCCAAAAATAGGTGGACATTAAGGCCTAAACTATGGACACTTGGAGGGTTAAGTAAACCATCCTTTGATTTTTTTCATTATCAGCAAGTTTGATTAGCCTAGTTAGGTTAGGTTAAACAACAGATTAAATTTTATAATTGATATACAGTAACTTAACTTAGTTTAAATAGGGTAAATTGAATGAAGGTTTAAGTTACTATAATCTTATCAATATTTTATCCGAAAGGCCTAAGTTAAGCTATTAACTTGGCGTAAGTAGGCCTAGCCCAGATAAGACTGTAGGCCTAAGTTAAGTTACCCCATGGGACTTAGGATAACTTAAGTTTGAATGTTTGCATGTGTAGGGACCTTCAAGCACATTTAAGACTAAGTAAAGGCTATTTTGTTCAGGCTAAATGTAAAAAAATGTAATAGGCCAAAGGCTATCTAGAAAGGCCTAGGCCTAGTAGGTAGGCCTACATTCCAAATTTTTTTCTAGCTGATTGCCTAAGACTAACTTATACAACTTAAGTTTTAGGCCTAACTTACCTAACTGTTATAGCCTACTTTTATATTAGCCTAAGCCAAGCGTTTTACTTTACTTATGTAATAAAGTAGGCTAACGTAACACCATTATATGTTGACATTGTTAGGCCTAATAAGATGTAAGACCAGATTCTGTTCAGGCCTAGGGCCTATTAATTTTATCCACCTTATTGGCCTTAGGTCTAAGGTAGCCTAACTCAGGTATAATTTTTTTTTTCACACCACATTAACTAAAGTGATCTGCTATAAAATAAACCACGTTTAAGTTACGGTTTTAAGATATCCGAGTACCGGTACCAGTAGCCTAACTCAGTCACAGCCTAAGCAGGGCCTATGACAGAATTCTAGTGATTTCTGATCTAAGCTCAACATGTCATAGGCTAATCATTCGCTTATTCATTTAACTTACCGTACACTAGGTCTAGACGTATTTGATTATCTTTCGAAACTCTGCTGATTAAAAACATTCAATTTAAACTTTTTCTCTGGTTATTTGAATGCTCAAATGGTTTATAGGCTATAGCCTAACTGTAACTGTTTAGTGTTTAAATGGCTTTGTAACGGAACTTAAAGATACCGTAGTAATAAATTTGTATTTTGTTTGTTTAAGGAACTCCGTCCAAAGTCCAAGACACTTAACGTCAGTACTTCTCCCTGAAGCAGTTAATCAGTACTACAGTCCAATCAATAATTATCAGATTTGTTTTCTACAACCATGGCTAATCCTCAAAAGTTGAACTTAAACTCCCCGTTGCTCTCCAACCAACTTGTGGAGAACTCCCCGATGACTAACTTAGCTCTCAATCTTGGGAGCACAAACATCAGCGTTCCGGCCCGTAGAAAACTCTCCCTCGCCAGCTCTGAAGGCAGCCCTTCACCTGCACTTGGTGAGTGTATTTGAATTGAAATCAAATGCTTTTCAGATAAATTTAAATATCAATAGCAGTGTGTTAAATTCTTATTATGTTAAGTTAACTTGTTTTCCCTCAGTCTTTAGTGCATACAAGGTGTCTACCAGTCGGGAAATCCGAAAAAAACCGGGAGTTTTGAAAGGTCCGGAAAAGTAAAGAATTTCACCGCGAGACAAGTCAAAGAAGGCCCTGCGAATGTGGGATGATCGTGGGTAATGAAAAGTCGGGAAAAAGCGTGAATTCTATTTGAGAAATCTGGTAGACATCTTGTGGAATATTATTGATTCATCCATCTCTAAATGCCAAAGAAAGAAGATCAACCTGATAATGAAATGATAGCGCCAATCAGCATTGTTTGTTTTAATGCGTAAATATAATATTTAGTGGTTCCATTATGGCACTTGTTGGTCCAAATCCCTTAAAGTCATTAGCCTATTGCCAAAATTTGACAAATTGCTAAACATGGGCGTTAACGTACGATGCAACGTGTAGTTAGGTACGTTAACGACTTTCTGAATCATGAATTTACATGCAATGAAACACTTTCATATCTATGTAGTCTTAGACCCTATTTAACCCACTAGCATACTTAAACCGTCCTGCTGTAATGCACTCTGGCACTCCTAAACGGAACTGTTCCGTCCGAGAATAATCTTTCTGTATATTGCTATAGACAACACAGAATAATCAACTGGATAAACTGTAGTAACAAGAATAAAAATATCAAACACAATAAATTCTAAACAACATGGATAAATACAGGCAAATCAATGTGAAAAAAACAGATACTGTAGGCTACAATTGAGAAAAACATGATTAAGTTGTTCTGTTGAGTCAAGACTCAAATACTAATTTGGATCCAAAAGCAAAGACGGACATCATAGGTACAAGGATTTGAAACCAATTATTTGCACACAGTCAATAAATTAGGAGCGTGCATGATTGATGTGGCCGTGGGAGAACAGGATGGAGAAAGGAGACATAACAGAACAAGCATTTTCCTCAGCAATATGTTCTTTCTTCAACACATATCCACCCGCACATTCCCCTATTGAACTTACACTAATGACAGAATCCCTCAACTATTGTGAACACTTCCCCACAGATGAGATTTCCTGTTTGTATTGAAGCTAGATGTGTTGAAGTAACTAGTCACTCTCCTTTTGAGGCAACTGGGCTTAAGACCATCGAAGAAGTCTAGATGAGAAGCTACCATGTTACCAAACATGAATCAATCTAGGAAGATGAGTATTTTGTAGATAGTTGAAGGGATTAGATCTCTTGTAGAATAATTCTTGTGATCTGGTTCGGTTAAGAAGAATACAGAATTCAATTACTTCTAGGAGCTTTTCACAGTTGATATCTCACCCATTAATGTTTGTGAAGAAAACTGATGTCCGCCACTTCCCGTCAAAGCGTTAATGGAGTAAAGCCTAGTTCATTTAGGATATCAACAACAGAAGTTTCCAGATTTCCGAGCAAATCTTCTCCCTCTGGACGGACTCGAGCTTATCGAAGTTGCCCAGGAAATATGGTGACCAGAAAACTGAACAATACTCCAGTTCCTGGCATATATAGGAGCAAAAAAAGTTGAGCAATGTCTTTAAAGGGGTCTCTAGATATCCTGCATAGGAGACCCATGCATTTGTTACCTCGTCGACAAATTTAATCAACATGATGGTCGGGTGATAGGTCGGATGAGAGATCCACACCTAGGTTGTAGAGTCGACCATACAATGAAAGGTGACGGTTGGAAGTTTCTGTGATAAGGAGATGCATTGAGTTGGGTTTAATGTAGTCTGTTTATGGATTTATCATTTTGGCGCCCCTAGGCCCAATAATTTTTCCGCCCCCTAGTCTGTTTTTCAAAAGTTACTTTCTTACAAACAGGCCCGGTCTGGCTCCATTGGAGGCCCTCGGCTAGATGTTGATTTGAGGCCCTCAGATAGAAAAAAAACAAGGACCATGGGGTGCTCTCACGGCAACAATTAGTTAGCATATATGTTTGCTGCATGCCGCAGGTGCATAAAAGGGGCCTAATGTGGTTTTAAATGATTAAAAAGTTTTTGATAATTTTGATTAAATTAATAATTGCTAAATTTCCATAAATTAAAATCTTTGTATTTATACATTTAATTCCAAGGTATCAATCAATTTAAATTTGATATAAAATTTGCTTGTATTTCTATTTACCTCTACAGCTGCCATAAAATTTAATGGCCTATTCTTAAAATTGGGTTTTTAAGTCTTCAATATAAAAATAAGACCAAAACCTAGTTCTTGGAGTTTTTGCCATAGGCTACATGGTAAAAAAACATATCACGTACCACTTTTGAATTTTGAATACATCTATGAATGGACCACATTTACTTTTTATCACACACTTTACTCCATAGTTGTACTTCAGCAACAAAGACAAACAGAAATAATCAAAAGTATTTTAATTTAAACGTTGTAAGGCTTACAAAAAACTTCTGATGATTTCCGCCTGCCTGTTTGCGACTTCTCATTGTTAGCAGAATCGGAACTGAAACCAGCTAACCTGCTAACCATAAGTTCAAACAGTTTGACTTTAATTTTTTATTTTGAAATATTTCCTATCCATTTTTATTTTACTTGCGCCACTTGGTTGCACACGTTTCATTTTATTAACTGAACGATTCACGTGTTAGTAATCTTTCAAACAATACGTCATAGCCCACTACGTAGGAATGACTGAAAACAGTCGTCGGTGATTAAACTAGTCCCTTCTCTGTGACAAGTCGTAACACCATACTCGACCTTTTGGTGTTGAGATGAGGCTGACTGGTAGAATAAAATCAGTTGTAGATAAACTGACGGATAGGAATTGGGAACAGTTTTTAGGGATGATACATAAAATGTAATTGCATTTATTTTTGTTGTTTGAAAAAATTTAAAATTGCCAAGACACTATGTTTTATATATTGATAATTTAGATTTTAATGCCTGTAGCAAAATCTGTTTTAAAAACCAGGTAACAAATAAATAGAAATATTTGTTATACTGAGTTAGAGACATTAGGCCTACTGAATAATTTAAATCTTGCAGTCATGTAATAAACTAAAAATTTTTAATTAATTTTAAATGTTGTCATTCTATTACGTTTTATACCAAAGTAACAAAATATTAATGCAAATGACAACAAACAATAGGAATCAAGCGGGAAAACTCCAATGTTTAAAGTAAAATTATATTCGATAATTTTCTTTGCAATGACTGAAACCACTGCACCGATTGAACGCCACCAGTTGTTGTTGTAGTGGAATTCTCTCGGTTTTCATTCGACTGAAAAAAAACACTGGTTTTAAAAACAACCGATTGGCAAATTGACTAGTCGATAGTTTTTTTTCCAGTTGGTTGTCCCATCACTATACTAGTACAAGTGCTAAGCTGTCTGCTTGAGTCCAGACACCAGACATATCGCAGACGCGCGCCGGCACGGCAATGTCTCGTCGGTCACTACCGCGGAGCGCTGGGCATTGGGCAATGAGCTGATTCGAACGGTGCGTTGCAGTGAGATCGGTGACTATCCTTTAGTACCGAGTGACTATCACTGTACTTAGGGGCTACCCCTAACTGTAATTCAATTAAAAAAAGAGTAGGGGGGTATTGTTTATTAAAAATTGTTTTTGCAAGACTACGTCGCTGTGAAACAGTTAAACAAAATATTTTGTTATTATAAATAAATTTTTTTTGAATTGATTTTTTGGCTTTTGGAGGCCCCCTTGAGTTGGAGGCCCTCGGGGATCGCCGACCAGCCGCCCTGGCCAGACCGGGCCTGCTTACAAACCTTTAGTAAAAAAAAACCATATCAGGCATGTTAATTGCTTCAACACCACTCCTTAATGCAATTGTATCATTGCAATTTTTTTGAAGAATTTACATGGTTCTGGCCTTAATGAAATGTTGTCATAAACACTTAAAGCAATTTTACCTATTTATTAAATAGAGAAGTCGCGTTTGTGTGACTAAATCAAAAAAATCTAACCAGCAGAACATTCCTGCAACAAATCATGGCCTTTGCTGCTGCCGAAGTGGCTTCATATTTCAGTCCCAAAAACATGAACTTCCGTACAGTATGTGATATCATAGATTGAACGTACCCCCTTAGTAGATTTGTTATCCTTATGGATCAGCTGAAGACAAAACTATTCTTGTTATTTCAGTTATTTAAACCCTTGTTTAACCAATAAAATGATCCGATCATAAAAAATTGCTTGTCCCCTGGTTTTATTATACAATAAATTAAAACACAAATCATAAAATTAACCCTAAAATGGTAGAAAAAACACTTTTTTTTTACATTAGCACCCAGTGTCACTACCATGAACTAGACGTAAACAACAATCTTATATAATATTTTACAGTGTGATGAGAAGTATACTTTTGTTGGTTGGTAATATTGTGTCTAAATTATAGTCGCAATGCAAAAAAAGCAAAATAAAAGGTGCTTTGGAGAGTATTGAATTTTTAAAACCTATTGAAAACTCAGATAAATTTTGTTTGTCAATTTCAAAGAGGAAGTCATAGTTTTTTTAAACATTCAACACGACGTATGATATATTCTGCAGGTTATTGTAAGAAAATCAAAATATTGGTTAATGACTTGTTTTGCGAGGTAAGGGTGGTAACAAGTGTCTCGACAGTAATATTGGCATGATGCGCATGTGACCCTAACAGCCCTATTCACTCCGAGCAGTAGCGCCTAGCCAGCATAGTTGCAGTGGCATTGGCAATATGATATGTAAAGGTCAACATTCACAACGTTGCAGCGGTGAAAATCGGGAATATAAGAAAGCAGACTCAGTAGATTTCTGTATGTGACAGCAGGGCTACAGATATACAAGGGCTGGCTCACTCCTTTGATGTTAGCGGTCGCCGCCTGATCCTACTTCCCCTCCCCTGCCGCTCCTCTGTGACGTAGCGGAGATACATCGGCTCGAGGCGTGACGGTA